ATATATATATGATTAAGACAAACTAGATTACTTCTGCTATGAACTTTACATTATCCCAGAAAACTGTAGAAGCAAATGGTTGCTAAATGAACAGTAAGTAATCTCTGTGATTATAAAATATGGAGTGTTCCGTGTAGGAGATCCACAGGGTGAGCTGATAGAAAATGCACAGAGTAGGACAGAACCGACATGCGTTAGAGAAAGGAAGTCGGGAAGACTTCTCAGGGATTACATCGCAGAGAACACAAACCTGAATGGAGAATTAAACGACAGGCACAGGATGACCAAAAATCAAAATAACAGCCACAAACAACTGGTAAACATAATAAAAAAAAGTTGTGTTCACTTATCATCAAAGAAATGTAAATAAAAACCATAAAATAACCATTGAACTAGAAGAAAATACAACAAAACACCTTGGGCAAAGGAGATTGTTTCATTTTGTTTTTCCTCAGTAGGGAGAATTGAACCCAGGAGCACTCTACACTGAAATAAATCCTCAGCCCTTCTTATTTTTTATTTAGAGTCAAGATGTTCCTAAGTTGCCCAGGCTAGGCTCAAACTCACAGTCCTGCCTTTACCTCCCAGAGTGCTGGGATTACAGGCATGCACCACTGTTCCAGTTGTGTTTTATGTTCTAATATGAGCAAAGGTATATAATGAATGAGTGGATAAATACATAAGATAATGTCACACAGTGCTAAAGGCTCTGAGAAAAATGAAACAAGATGAGTTAGAGGAACCTATTGTAGATAGGGGGGCAGGAAAGGCCTTTCTAAGAGGACATTTGAGTGGTGTGAGAAGCTCACCACAGGAAGTAGACGTCTAAGAGAGTACACTAACCTATAGCAAGGGAAGCAGATTGTGCAACAGAAGGAAGTTTGGTAGGGTCCAAGAAGAGAAAGACCATAGTAGCTGGGTCATAGAGAACCAGGGAGAAAGTGGTACAAGATCAACAGGCTATGGAAAGAACTATTGGCTTTATTCTAATTGAATTGGGAATTTATTGGAAGTTTTGAAGAGGAGGAGTGATATAATCTTTGTTTGCATTAATAGTATTATTAATATGACCCCTTTTTAGGTGCTAGAGATTGAATCCAGGCCCTTGCACATGTTGAACAGACCCTCTGCCATGGAGTTACACCCAGATCCTTTTATTTTTCGAGACTGTGTCACATTAAGTTGTTCAGGTTGTCCTTGAACTTGCAGTCCTCTTGCCTCAGCCTTCCAAGTAGCTGGGATTTCACCATGCCCAGATCCTGTTCATTTTTTAATACAGAAGAAAGGCAACCACTAGAATAAGTGGTTAAGATTAGGAGCTCTTAGTCTTAACCAGCTAGTTTCAAATGTTGGCATCACCACTACTGTGTTGCCTTCAGCTATTACCTACCTATCTCTGGTTCAGTTTCCCCATCAAGAAAATGATAATGATGGTACCTAACTCACAGAATTAGTACAAGAAGTCACAAATTAGTAGACTGTATTAGCCTTTCATTACTGTAACAAAATACTTGAGATAGTCAATTTAAAATTTAAAAAGAAAAATGGATTATTTTGGAGGCCTCAGTCCGTGGTCAGTTGGCTGACCACTGCATTTGAGCCCATGTGGAGGAAGTGCATCGTGTCGGGGGTGCGTGGTAGGAGAAGCCCATTTACTTCACAGGTGGGAGGGAAAGAGCCTTGCTTAAAACTTGAAGGCCAAAGTCTCCTTCAGGACTCAAGGCAAATTCTCTTTAAGAATTCAAAAACAGGCCAGGCATGGTGGCACATGCCTGTAATCCCAGCACTCAGGTGGCTGAAGCAGGAGGATCGCTTTGAGTTTGAGGCCAGCCCAGACTGCATAGTGAATGTAAGACCAGTCTGAATTACAAAGCAAGACCTTGCCTCAAAAAAACCCTGCTTACTTCCAAAATACAAGAAAACCATATAAAACACTCCTGTTCTAAAAAGGAGAAATAGGAAGAATAGGGGAATCTTTAAAAAGGGATTGGACAAAAGCAAAACCCAAATCAGCCGTGTAAACAACCCTACAACCACTTATTCAGCATTCATAACACACTGTAGTGGGATGTGGGCTCTAAAGCTGTGGGCAGCCCTGCCCCTATGGCCATGCTGGTTGCCGGGCACGTGGCCATGTTCTCTGCATCTTCCTTAGACACATTCCGTGTTCCTGGCACCCATTCTTCTTGGGGTCTCCGTTGATTCTTTGACTTCGCTCACAACTCCATACATTGCCCTGTCAGGTGCTCCTTGCAGAGACTCCCACCTCTGTGTAAGATATAAGATGTAAACACTATGCAGGACCAGGGAGATAGCTCAGCAGCATGAGCACCTGCCTGGCAAGCACAAGGGCCCGGGTTTGATCCCCACTACAAAAAGAAAAACTGTTAGGGCTAGGGAGATAGCTCAGCGGTCTAAGCACCTGCCTGGCAAGTGCAAGGACCCAGGCTTTATCCCCAGTACCACATGGTGGTGCCTGCCTCTAATCCCAGTGCTGGGGAGGCTGAGACAGGAGGATCATTATGAGTCTGAGCTGCATAGCAGAACCCTGTATCAAATAAATAATAAATAATAAACACTATACAATGTTAGATAATTAAACAGATAGATAGTTAAGATTGATATTCTGGGGTAGAGGATAAGGGAAATGAAATGTGGAGGAATTTTTTACATCCTTCTATCCAGTTTATTCAAAAATATATGTAGGCTTGCATTGCTTTCATAATAAAAAAATTCATTTGAGGAAAAAATATTTGAAGTATTTCTTACTTGTTGTTCAAAAGTAAATCAAAGTTCAACCTTAGTACTTTTAATGCTTGTTTGTGTTTTTCAGAGGAGGAAGACTCTATAGATGTTCATGGATCACAGACAGACAGACAGACAGACAGACAGACAGATTTCCCTGACAGGAGGCTAGGTTTTATATTTAGTTTTGCTTCAAAATATGTGATAGAGCATATTTTCAGGGGATGTCCTATATTTTTCATGTACAAAAACCTGCACTAATTTATTCACTTCTAAAAATCTACATTTATTCAAATATAGTCATGTCATTTTTTGAAACATGGTCATAACTCTGTAAAATGGGCCCAAATTCCCATTGGCCCCAATCTCTCATGTCTATCAGTAGAGCTATCTTTATTTATTTATTCATTTTCTGTATTTAGGGCAGGGTTTACAGGGTCTACAGATCTCACTACATAGATCAAACTCGAGTGATTCTCCTGTTTACAGCCTCCCAAGTGCTGGGATGACAGGTGTGCGCCATCACGCACAGTCTCAATTGCAGTCTCAGCGTGCCCCAGGGGCAGGGGCAGGACAGCACACCGGGGATCAAGCCCTGGTCACTGCGCATCGCTGCGCTCTGCCAAAGCAGGCGCTTTAGTCCGCTCAGCTATCAGGCTGGCCCTAATAGAGCTATCTTTTTTTTTTTTTTTGCAGAACTGGGGATTGAACTCAGACCCTTGCGCTTTGTTAGGCAAGCACTTACTCTACTGAGCCATCTCCCCGGCCCCAATAGAGCTATCTTTAATGTTTCTTGTCTATATAGCCTGCTTGTAGCACATTTTTACATCATATGATGTATTGAATTATGAAGATTCATATTTGATACCACTATGTCCACTTATTATCAAGCATTATTCATGCATTCTGTCTATACTGCAGCTGGTCATTCAACAGTAAGTCTCAAGTTCATCTGTTTACATAGATGTTTACCTCTTGTTCAAAGGCACCTGCTGGAACATTTACAAATTATAATTTATATTATCATTTTATTTATTTATTTATTTATTTATTTATTTGATACAGGGTCTCACTACACAGTTCAGACTTGTAGTGATCCTCCTGTCTCAGCCTCCCCAGCTCTGGGTTTATAGGCATGCACCACCACGCCCAGTTTCAGGCTTGCACTGTGTGTGGTGTTGGGGATCAAACTCAGGTCCTTGCACTTGCCAGGCAGGCACTTAGACCACTGAACTATCTCCCCAGCCCTGTGTTATTATTTTTTTTAAACTTTATTTTTTTTAAATTTTATTTATTTATTTATGTGGGGGGGGCAGCTCAGCCCACCAGGGGGCGGGGCTGGCTGGCATGTGGTGCTGGGGGATTGAACCGCGGTCCCTGTGCTTTGCTAAGCTTGTTCTAAGTAGGTGCTTTAGACCTCTGAGCCATCTCACCAGCCCCCTATGTTATTATTTTTAAGTATCAATGTCAATAATATTTATGTGTATATATTATAATTCAATATATCATGTATTGCAATGGACATACTAAATGTATGTGTCTGGCTAACAGTCTTAACTGGGGCTTACTGTAGGAGTTGGCCTTATATTTTGAGGATCCTGAAAAGTCATGGTATGGCATATTTTCCAGTTAGGTCTTATTTTGGTGAAAATACAGTGGGATTTAACTGGGAATTGAAACTAGGGCCTTTTCACTGAGACGCATCCCAGCCCTTGTTTATTCTGTATTGAGGCCAGGTCTCATGAAGTTGCTAAGTTGCCCAGGATAGTGATGCACTTGCAGTCCTCTTGCCTCAGCCTCTGAGTACTGGGATTACAGTGATGCACGACCAGGACCAGCTTGTAGTGATACACTGTTCAGGTTTTCTATTCAGTACATAACTTCTTGTTCTTTTTCACAAAGATGTATTTAGGGATTTGGGATAATCTACCAGGTGTTGTGAAATGTCAAATGGAACAAGCACTCCATTTTGATTTTGGAACTGAATTTGAACCAAGGAAAGAAATAGTGCTCTTTGATAAGCCAACCAGGGGAACCACTGTACAGAAGTTCAAGGAAATGGTATACAGTCTATTTAAGGTAAGTGTGTCTATTCACATGTTGCTAGTGTCAGTCTCCTTTAAAAGAACCTGGCCTGATCCTATCCTAAATTTTGATACTTTGACTCATTCCTGAGGAAACAATTCAAAGAAAAAGACATTTGTTGGTACTTGACTCCAGCATTACTTATAATGTCCAGATATGCAGGGGAGTTTATTATCTAGTTAGATTGCTGTACATTTTTACATTAAAACCGATGCAAAAAAACAAACTAAAGTCAAGTTAGTGCACTCTACTTAGCTGTGGTGGTACATGCCTGTAATCCTAGCTATTTGGGGGGACAGTATTGCTTGAGCCCAAGTTTGGGATCAGCCTGGGCAACATACATAGAAAAATAAAAAATTAGTGTACTGGGTGCAAATTACTTAAGTAAATACTCATATAAAGACTAAAACAAAAATGAAATGACAGTGTTGAAAAGAATTGGCTTTGCTGTTTTATTTTCACTCAAAAGCTTTCTTTGGCTATTTTACACACACTTCATACTATTTTCTCCCAAAGAACCTTACCAGGGAAAACCTTTTAACCTCCATTACTAGAACAATAAAGTAATTGTTAATGCGATACATACAAAATAAATTTCACTTGACCATTGTTACAACTTTGATAAACCTTAAAATCCAAATTGGAAGTAAATGTATAAATAAGACAAAAAATAGTGACTTAGTGTCTTGGTATGATCCAAAGGATCTGAGAGGGCTGAAGGAGAACGGTTATTTAAAAATCAGCTTGTGGTACAAAACCAATAATCCCAGCATTTGCAAAGTTAAGGCGGGAGGACCATTGAGTTTGAGGCTAAACTGTTATACAGTGAGTTCAAAACTAGCCTGAACTATATGGTGAGACACTGCTGAGAGAGAGAGACAGAGACAGAGACACACGCACACACACACACACACACACACACACACACACACACAGAGATAGACTTACTGAAGTTACATTTAAAAAAAAACCCATCAATTTCTTTTAAAAGCATCGCATTTGGAGAGGTAACATATAAACTCCTTTATGGGGATTCAGCAGCAGGAGTATTACTCTTACACAGGAACTCTTACAACTCTTACACAGGAAATATTCTTTCTGTATAACTGCCAGATTCTTGTCTTGACAGGAGAAATTGGGCGACCAAGGAAACCTCTCTGAACTGGTCAATCTCATCTTGACGGTAGCTGATGGAGACAAGGACGGTCAGGTGTCCTTGGGAGAAGCAAAGTCGGCATGGGCACTCCTCCAGCTAAATGAGTTTCTTCTCATGGTGATACTTCAAGATAAAGAACATACCCCCAAATTAATGGGCTTCTGCGGTGACCTCTATGTCATGGAAAGTGTGGAATATACCTCTCTTTATGGAGTGAGCCTCCCATGGGTCATTGAACTTTTTATTCCATCTGGGTTTAGAAGAAGTATGGATCAGTTGTTCACACCATCATGGCCTAGAAAGGCTAAAATCGCCATAGGGCTTCTAGAATTTGTGGAAGATGTCTTCCATGGCCCCTATGGAAACTTTCTTATGTGTGATACCAGTGCCAAAAACCTAGGATATAATGATAAGTATGATTTGAAAATGGTGGATATGAGAAAAATTGTGCCCGAGACAAACCTGAAAGAACTCATCAAGGATCGTCACTGTGAGTCTGACCTGGACTGTGTCTATGGCACAGACTGTAGAACTAGTTGTGATCAGAACACAATGAAATGTACTTCGGAAGTAATACAACCAAACTTGGCAAAAGCCTGTCAGTTACTCAAAGACTACCTACTGCGTGGTGCTCCAAGTGAAATTCGCGAAGAATTAGAGAAGCAGCTTTATTCTTGTATTGCTCTCAAAGTCACAGCAAATCAAATGGAAATGGAACACTCTTTAATACTAAATAACCTAAAAACATTATTGTGGAAGAAAATTTCCTACACAAACGACTCTTAATTTGGACACAACTCAAAATTTACCATAATAGACTTACCACTTCTGAACACCCACTTTGAGCATTTAAAAGAATGGCTCCTGATTCAGAGATCCTCCTGGGGTGTAAGCAGCCAGCATCTTAAATACATGATCATGGAAGTAACACTGGGCACTCAAGTTCCCTTCTGGCTTTTGAGATGGGCTCTTGCTGTTTACCCAGGTTGGATCAAAGCCCTGGACTCATCCTTGTGCCTGAGCCTCCTTGCTACGACAGCAGGCACACACCGGCATGTGCCAGTTCCTGCTTTTAGAAGCCGTTACCTTTGCCAATTCCATTTGTGAATCTGGGCTAGTGAATTTTGACAAAGAGGGAAAAAGCTGTGAAAATACTCGTATTACACTCTACTACCCAAAATACCACTACGGGAAAGTTTGCATTGAAGCTGGGTTTAAAATTTGTACAAATTTACTAATGTCTTTGCATGGTAACATTTGCACATTAACAAGATGGTGAAGCAGGTTTAATTAAAATTACTCCTTGATAAAAGATGGATTTTAATAGTATGGTTTCTTGTAAGACTTACACATTTTAACCTCAAACATCAAATACCACACCTAGTTGGCAAAGTCCTTGGTTTTTAACTTCAGGAAAGTATTCTATTGACAATATGCAATTACTCATTTTAGTGGCTGAAACCTAATTTTCACTAGCCTAAAAACTGGATGAGGCAGAGGCCTATAACCCAAGCTGAAGCAGGATAGCTATATAGTAAATTTAAGACCAGCCTGGACTGTATAGCAAGACCCTCTCAAAAAAAAAAAAACCAAAAAAAACAAAAAAAACCAAAAAAGATGGTTGAGCCCATCTTCAAAGCTACCAAGCTCATTATTGGGCTGGGAAGGAGTGTGTGCTTAGCATGCTTGAGCCTGGGTTTGAGACCCGGCCCTGTAAACACTGGTATCTTGAGGCCATAGAAGAATCCATTTATCCTTCCTTTGAGCCATAGGGAAAGTGGTAACTGTTACAAGACTGAAATAAAGCAGACCTTTAATTTCCCATTTTGTTTCCTGTGGATTAAAGGGCTGTTTAAGAGGCATGTAAATCTACCCACCCAACGTTTTTCACATAAACCTCATATGCAAAACTTGATATTTGATCCTTTTCCATGTATTTTCAGTCAGATCTGGCATGTACCCTTCAGTATCTCCATAAAATGAGACACCTCTTAGTATATTTTCTGCTGAGGTTTAATCTAGTTAATGTGAATATATACTAAATCTGTGATCTTCATTTGCTCTCAAAAATTTAAAGCCATGGATTACCACGAGTTTTGTTTCGAGATTGTAAACTTGAAGTATGTTTTCTTCCCACTAATGATCTGGTTATAATAAATAAGCAGAAGAAATACTTCTAGTGATCACTGTTGGTCTGTTGCTTGCCAAACTTAATATGAGGGATAATAAAGAGAACAGAAGCCCAAGAAGTATGAACTTTGCTGGAGTCAACACAAAAGATGTTTTTCTCTGGAAAAAATTACTTTTCTTCGAGAAAAGAAACCTGTTTTATTCCTGTGCTTCAGTTTATTTCCTAGACTCTTATAACAAGAGCTTAACACAGAAGCAGTTGCTTGATGAATAAGTTTATTGGTCTTTATCTGAAAAATCTTCATAGAAATTTGGTTTAACTCTCAGCAGCACGCTCCTGAGCTCTGAGAAAGCTTGCCTTCTTTTGAGCTACCCGATCTTTCTTCTGGGCAAGAGACATTTTGGGACGGTTCCACCTATATAACAAAAAGAACCAAGAATATATATTTTTATAAAGCATAGCTAAAGATACAAATTAACTTCAAATGAGACTTTATTATCAGATGGAGGTTAATCTAAGTTCTAATATATTCTTATTCTTATTAAGGTAACTTTCCCAAGCACTTCTGAAATCCTATCCTATTACCACAGGGTCAAACATCAAATTAAAAAAAACAACAGTACAATGGCTAAGTGTGCATGTTATTTTTTTAGTGAGATGAAAAGGCCATCTCTTTAGGTAGCCATTTTAAAATGCAGTAAGTGATTTTTACACTGTGTGAGGACAGAAAGGGCACCTCAGGAGCTTCTGAGGCTAGTACATTCTATCACCACTATTACTTTAGCAAACCTGGTTCCCTTAGCTCCTGCCACACCATGCAGAGCTAGTGATCGAGTTTGCACCTCACTGAAAGCCTGACTCATAAAATGAAACAAAGCATGTAAGAACCACACCAAATTTCTCTCTCGACAGCAAGATTCATACCTCTTCTTTTTAACTTCTCTCTTCGGCTTCTTTTCATAGACTGGATTCTCTCGTATAGCAGCATGAGCTTTCTTATACATCTCCTCCATCTGAAAGAAAGAAAAGCAAACAGTACTTGGTTTCATTTCATACGCCCTACTGTATAAAGGCAAAAGTGTTCCACTACTTGTTTTGTCTTTCTAAGCCTGATTCTCAAAAAAAAAAAAAAAAAAACAAAAACCCTAATCCAAGCCAATGTTAGTCCCTGATTAAATTCCTACTACATGTAAATGTAAGCCAACTTTTCCAAACCAATTCCCAGTGTTTACCTTACTCAACATGATTATTCACAAAACCCAACTTTGAAGAAAAGCCTATGTGCATTGCTAAGGAATTCAGCCATACTTGAGTCATTCTAAAGCAAATTTATTTTTGCAAAACATATATTGTGCTCCTCATTCTAAAAACTCTGGCCTACATTCTTTCATTCAATAAGGATACATGCCAAAAGTGTTTAAGGGGCCAGGGAGATGGCTCCTGGCAAGTGCAAGGGTCTGAGTTCAATCCCCGGTTCCGCAAAAAAAAATTTAAGATGCTAGGTACACAGGGTCAGAGTCCCAACATTGACAGCTGCAGGCCCAGGACAGAACAATAGGGACAAATAAGCAACTGCTAATTTTTTTGTACCTACATTTCTCACTAACATAACATCCCTTAAAGTCAAAAGGTCTGAATTTTCTAGGAATTCTGAAGTCATCAATTTTGATTCTTTATTGAGCAATCTTTTCTATAGCTTTTTTAAAAATCCACGATTACAAATTCTGTATATTAACTAAAGCTCCCTCATGATATCAAAATTCTGGGCATGGTGCACATGCCTACAATCCCAGCACCCAGAAACTAAGGCTCCAAATTTGATCCTAACCTGGACTACTACAGTTAAACCTTACTAATCTTAAAGCAAAAAAACACAGGCAAAGTAAAGACAGGAGTGTGGCTCAGTGGTAGAGCATATGCTTAGCATGAAGGAAAACAAGCAGCACTCTTTAAAAAGAAAAATGCAAAAAAAAAAAAAAATAATAATAATAATAATAAAAAAAAAATAGGGCCAGGGAGATGGCTCAGTGGAATAAGTGCTTGCCTGGCAAGCACAAGGACCTGAGTTCAATCCCTGGTTTCACCAAAAATAAAAAATAAAAATAAAAATGCTAGGGAGCTAGAATGGCAGTCCTTGCCTGTAGTCACGGCACTCAGGAGGCTGAGGCAAAAGGGTCACGGCAAGCTTGAGGCCAGCTTGGGCCACAAAGTGATTATGAGCCAGCCTGAAGGACATAGCAAAACCCTGTCTCAAAAAACTAAAATGCTGGGGATGTAGCTCACTCAGTTTGGGACTTGGATTCCATCCTCAGCTCACCCTCCACAAAGGACCTCAACTACCTAATTTCTTTAACAAAGTTAACTCTTGTGGCACATGGCAGAACACAAGAGGACCCCACCTTCAGGCCCCAGGCAATTTGGCAAAACCTTGTGTGAAAAAAAAAAAAAAAAAAAAAAGACTTAGGCAATGGAGGCTGGACAGGGTGGCTCACACCTATACTCCCAGCACTTGGGAAACTGAGGAAGGAACTTGAGGCCAGCTTAAACTACATTGGTGAGTCCCCAAGTCAAAAAAAGAAAAACCTGGTTGGGTAAAAAATCACTTCCTCCAATTTGATTTCCCTGAAAATAAGCCTAGCCAGAAAAATAATCCGCCTTGGAAAGAGGAGCTCAAGACTGGGAAGGCAGCGGGGAGGCCCTCACCCTACCTTGCCTTACCTGGAATCACTACTCTCTTGCTCAATGGCTCCTCTGTAAAGCCAGGGTAGGCTGCCTCGGCCTGGCATTTTTAATCTCTATTTTTAAAGACTGATTACTTTCTACCTATGTCCTATTTTCGGTGAAAACAGAAACGCATCAGGTATATTAGCAGAGGATTCTGGCAGGTATCCAGGAGGAAAGAGGCTATCATAGCTAAAATTAGTGAGCCAGGGGCTAAGGCTGTAGCTTAGTGGTAAAGCACATGAAGAGCATGCACAGGGACCTGGGTTCAATTTCCAGCTCCTCAGATCTGCCCCCCTCCAAAAAAACTAAGCTGAAAAGTCAATGAGAATCCTGGCTTAAGTATAGCATGGGTATAGGACTGTATCAACAAATGAGTATCTTGAAAGCAGACTGGATGGAAGCGGATGTCTGGAGCAGCTGGAGCAGCTGTGACACAACCAGATCAGGATTATGGCTTAGGAAGAAATGCTTTGCATGCCAGGTAAATTAACAGTCTACAAGAACAGCCAAAAACTACAACGCTCTTAACCAAGAGTATACAAACAACTTACAGTTTTACAGCTATAATAATCTGAATTTGAGTTGTACATTTTCACTGTAACTTCAAAACTGGCACTATAATCTTCAGTTAGTCCAAAGATTTTTTTCTTCTTTCATTTGTGTATTTGGTACAAGGTCTTACTACGCAACTCGTAGTGATCCTCTTGTTTCTAGCCTTCCCAGTGCTAGGATTACAGCTGCTGGGATTACAGGTGTGCACCACCATGCCTGGTCTAGGTAGCAGCTCAGCCTAACCCGGGGGGTGGGACCGGCACAGTATGCAGGACCAGGGTAGTCCAATGTCTTAAAAGAGATGCCCCTAGAAATTCAAGTTTCAGACTGACAAATTTCCAATATTAGACTCACTTCTGCAACGTGGTTCCCTTTTGTGCAACATCATGCAGAGCCAGTGACAGAATCTATATGGCTCCTTTGTGTCTATGCCTCGGGTATTCACAGTCCAGAACACAGCGCGTATTTGCTATGAAGAACCTGCTGACAAGCACAGCTCAATGCTTACAGTACATCATCCTCATGAGTTTATACTGGCTCACTATTTACTGTACTCCCACCCAACATTCTAATTTCATTTTAAGAGCAACTATGTGACTCTATCATACCTACACACATACCTAGATTCAATTTTCAAATGCTAGCCTGAAATAAAAGTGTATCCCATCAAACTTGTTTATACAAATTAACATGCAAGCACTTTTAGGTAAATTTACCATGTCTGGAGTTACATTGTTCTTTATGTACTGAGAGAACTGTTTCTTGTAAGCATCTTCATCTTCTGCCAATAGGTAGCGCATATAGTCTGCGACATTCTGACCCATGATGTGCTTCCGATGTACTTCTGCATTAAACTCCTTGCTTTCAGAGTCATAACCAGGGAATCGTTTGGTACTAAAATAAATGTTTTCATATTTTAGTATAGATGAACTAAGTCCACTGATAGGAATTCACTTCAGTAGCTGCCATCAGTCCCGTCTTGAAACAATTACTACATCATATGCAACCAAAGGACCAACTACTGACTGCTCAGTCAGTGGGCTATCATCACTTGGCAGCTCATCCCTGAATTCCAGAAAGAGAAGAAAAACACACTATGCACACCCTCCTCCACAGGTTCCAAACCCCTGGGTTCAAGTGTGATCCTTAGATTTCCACATAGAAGTACA